TCCATGTACACCCTCTGATACATCCACGTACACCTTCTGATACATCCACGTACACCTTCTGATACATCCACGTACACCCTCTGATACATCCATGTACACCCTCTGATACATCCACGTACACCTTCTGATACATCCACGTACACCCATCCACGTACACCCTCTGATACATCCATGTACACCCTCTGATACATCCACGTACACCCTCTGATACATCCATGTACACCTTCTGATACATCCACGTAAACCCTCTGATACATCCACGTGGTGGCGCTGATGGTGGTGTATGTACAGTTCATCTCATTAACAAGAAAGAGTCACTAACAAAAATCTGGTCACAAAAATTATTTCTCGAATTAAGCAAAATGGCGTTAATGATTACTGTGTTTTTCATGCTTGTGGCTTCTATTTTTAACTACGCCATTAAAGGGGCCACAAACCTCGGCATTAGATTCTTTATGAACTTCCAGCAAATTTCCCACGCGACGTGGGTAACTGATGATATAAACGTCCTGCTTCATTCTCAGTATTTTACTGTTTGCAGACTGTATCTACGTCTTTATAAAGGTCACAAATCTCTGCATTAGGTTTTTTGTGAATTGCCAACATATTTCGCACACGGCATAGGTCACTGAAGTTAAGACTCTCTGGTTCACTCATAAAAGCCGAATTATGTTCAAGTCTGACGTGATTTTCATGTGCCAGGACAGATAAAAAGACGTCTTCTATGAAAAGGTGTTTCCATAACGACGCTGCGTGAAGAAGCTTGATGACGTCATAGGAAAGAAGTGATGCGAATCCAGACACGTAAGGTGGGTATCTGCTGTCACTGAACTCCTCTCGGGTCTGGAAGTGCTTACTACGTGGATTGCGATCCACAGGGGCATTTACATATTTAAAACCAACGAATAGATTTCCAGACTTTTCTGCCGGACGTCTTGTCAGAAACCGTATGAGACCTCTATAGTTAACAGAGACGTCGTGTCCACTTTTTAGGACAAAACGCGTCCTAGGACAGTACTCTTCTACCCAACGAAGTGCGAGAATAGCTTTCAGTGTATAATTCTTATACGTGTCAACAAAATCGACTTTAATTAGATCTCCAAACTGCTCGCTTTCCCTTACGATTTTTTCCTCTACATGTTGCAGTTTCGAGTTTCCTACAAAGAAGACGGTTTTAACTGATTGTCCTACGTATTCCGAAACATTTCCACAAGTTTTTCTAAACGTCAGTCTGGACTGGAAATCGCGAGGATCAGATATCACTAGGACAACCAAAAACGGTTCCTCGTCAACGCTGCAAGGGGCACCAAAAATGTACGGATATTTTTTGATATGATACCACAGGTATGGTTTCTTCTGTAGCTTTCCCTCACACACTGACTCTGGAACTAAACATTCGCTTTCCTTTTTGGGTGTGCAATTCTTGACCCTATCCTCCTTGTGGATGGAAGTTATAGATAAAAGCAACAAAGCTGCTTGAATTGTGAAGAAAGCAAACATCAGTCTATCTCGTTTCATTATTCTCCACTTGGTTTTATAATCCTCGTCCTAGCAGACAAACGCTATGAATTTATATGGTCAATTGCAAAGCACAAAAATAAACATAGTGCCAATAACAAGGCGCATAGCTGGAAGGTAGGCCTGTATGCATAGTCCAATTCTAGTTATATAATTCTTTTGAATACCATCACCAAACAGTTTTAAATCGTGCTTTTTTTAAATGATAAAAAAATTTTATTAAAGAAAATAAAAAATATAAAAATCAACAAAAAAACAGCAAAATTATTTAATTAATTAATAGCACGATTTTAGGTGAGGAAAAGTAAAATATTGATTTTCTAACATTTCATCCAGGTGTGTACTACAGTGATTTCCATTGGCTAAAATGTCTATAAAATTGAAAAAAAAAAAAAAAAACACCTCCAAATGTCACCAAATTAATTAACAGCATAAGTTTGTGTTTTTTAAAAGCCAACAGATACAGATTAATGGCTGAAGATATTGGATTCTACTCAAATCTCTTACTTCGTTTTCGCACTGTCCTATTGTTTCCGCCGCTGTCTTCAGTCTCATTCCCTATTTCAATAATGGCCTTCTCCTGCACCGGCTTTGGTCGGCCTTGAAAGTGTTTTATGATGTGCTGGAGTTGGGGATGACCCTCGACTTGGGCCGTTAGTGGGACCGGCGCTGGGTTCGGATTAACCATTTTCTCCAATGCTTTTTTTTTTCTACTCAAACTGGCGGCTCGCCAATCCTGTAAGGTTCGGTTTTATGTTCACAGATCAAGAAGTAAGCAACAAGAGTCGTGGATTTCCAAACAGTTTTATTTCCAATGCTTTAGTTCTTAACCAGTCCTAAGTGCCTAATCTACACACCCCCTGTCCTATTTATATCCAGCACTACGTTACCTGTCTTACTGAAATATAACCTAAAAGTTAAGATATTGTCTAATCTCGCGAGACAGGTGTCAGAAGAGACGTGCGACATCTAAGGGGCGCTACCGCGTCCCTCACAACGACACGACAGACATTGAAATGTCAGAATCCAAATATTGACTTGTTTTAAATATTGATTAAAACAGGCTATAACTTTGACTTATTAGTAAAACAGTTGATGGAATCCATGAAATATTGAAAGACCTAAATTTAAATTTAAATTGCCTACTTGCCGATTTCATTTTGTATATTATTTCGTGTAATCAAAGTATTTGATTATAGCGAACTGCTAATACATTTCCGAAGGAAAAAACCCCGAGGCGTTACTTTTCAAAGCATCAAAAATAAGGTAATTTTTTTAAAAAAGAAAAGAAAATGCTTTTTTTTTTCTCGTGCATGTGTGTGTGTGTGTGTGTGCGCGCGCGCGCGCGCGTGTGTGTGTGTGTGTCGGGGTGGGGGCGGTATTATTATTATTATTATTATTATTATTATTATTATTATTTCATACTTGGACTTTATATAGTCCCCTAGTAAAAAAAGCGTCAACCCTAACGCAATGCGTGAAGTGAAACAGATACTCATGCCATGAACGAATTTTTTTCACCTTTTAAAGGATTTTTTGTTGTCAGTCTGTTATCCAAGTCCAAAGATGTGCCGTACATTCTCTATGAGGCTCTGATATGGAGATTTTGCACCTCTGTTTTAAAGTTCGTACGACCCCCAGATTCTGTTGTAGCGGGTCGTGCGACTGGAAGTTTAAGTATTGGTTAGTATGCAGGGACAGTTCCAGGATTATTTGAAGAGGGGGGGGGGGGG